TATATATATATTTATATTACACACACACACCTACATAGGCAGACACATATCTGCTACTTTATCTTAAACTGTGAAAGAGATTATTTACTGTGAGAGCTGTAAAATTGGTTTCAGCTGAGAGTATGCAATAATTTCAAGACCAATCTAGATTTCTTCTCAGAGAGCAACATATACAGGGGAACAGGTGATCTTCGTAACTCAAGCACACACACAACCACATAGGTTGAACTCGATGGACCGGTGTCTTTATTCAACCTTACCTACTATGTAACTTTGCTTGCAAGGCAAATATACCTCGGTAAGACCTGCTAAATACAAAGAGGTGTAACGCAAACCAGGTTAAATGGAGCCTCAGGACTGTCACCCAAACTGCAGAATTGAGATAAAAATGGAAATCTGTAGACCTGTGTTTTGTGTGTGCTTCAAATACATTTTAAAACACAGTAAAACATACATCTCCACAAGCCCTTAACCATCAATTCTTGCATTTCTCCAGGAACTCCAGTATTTGTGCTTGAGTGCGTAGGTTTGCATGCCCACCTCAGCCTTTGTAAGGAGATTCCTCTCTACCTGCTAGAACTGTAATTCATTGCATAGAACAATTAATGTAACCAGAGCAGTGTGTACATCCCAATGTGGGTGGAAAGATACAAAACAGCAAGGTGGGCAGGAACAGAGTCAGGAACTATAGAAAGGGGATTTCACCAGAAAGTTTCTAAGGGATAAAAGCCAGCAGAAAATTCTGTGCGCCAGGTTCCATCTATAACGAATATTCTTTGGAATTCTTAGGAGGGCCGCCCCTTTAAAAAACGATTCATGAATCAAGTATGGTATTGAAAAAATGCTAACATATAAAAGCGTATTTAAGAATATTTTAGATTAGATATCTAGTAAAGGAAGTCAATCCGGGAACGCAAAATAAAACAATGAATAAATAGGTAACTGTAATCCTTCTACAAGAAAAAAGATCTTCAGAGTTAACCTTTAAGAAGCCTGTTTAATGAAAATGGGAAGTTTCATTACATTATTGAAAACAGTGACGGAAGAAATAGGAACCATTATTACTTATTTGGTTACACATAATGCTACATCAACAGCAGTTGTTCCCAGGAACCTTGACAAAGTCATCTAAAATGTTCAACTTGTTTGAGATACACATAAGTGACAGTTTATATTAATCAGATAAGAGTCAGGGCTTGTTCACACCAAATGCAGACCAGATCTGCATGAGTTTCTGGACACGCAGTGCAGTGTGTTATAGCACGTTTTTGATGTGTTCCGGGCCATTTTTGGTTAAAAAAAAAGATTTTTTTTTTAAAGTTTAAAATGGGCTTTCAGTGCGTTCCAGGGCATTTGCATGCGTTTTTGGTGTTTGCATGCGTTACAGAGCAGGTAAAATAGGGCTTGCTGCAGTTTTTTTACATGCTCTGGAACTGAACGCTGCGGTGGGAACCAGAGCCCAAAATACCATTGTAATACATTGGACGCAGTTTTGATCGGGTCTGTAACTGCTCTGCTCCTGGAACGCGCTTGGTGTGAACTAGACCTCAGGGTAGTATGTAGCCCAGAAAATGTACCTTAAAGTGTATGTAAGCTCTTTGTAAAGCATAACGATAAACATGTATTTGCTAAACATATTAAAGTGTTATGTTATAGCTGCTATAAGTGCAAAAAATACCTGTTTGTCCTGCCAGACACCCAGCGCTGCCCTGTGCTCTCTGCTGGGATATCTCAAACAATGTCATCAGGAAATGTGTTAGGACTGCAGAACACCCCCATGTTAAGGAGATGAGGAGGTGTTCTGTAATCCTAACGTACTTTCTGTCCTAGGGTAACAACGCTGTCTTGCCATAGCAACAATAAAAGGGAATGAGAGTTGTCACCCTAGGACAGGAAGTGTGTTGTTGGTAGGTGAAGAAAGAGAAAAGGTCAGCTCTGCAGCTCTCTCCTCCCCTCTGGAAGCCCACTGCATGCTGCAGTCTGTGCCCTCTCCAATCCCCGCTTTTCTCCCCCGCCTGTAATTGGCAGAGGCAGCAGGGATCGGAGGGGACACAGAGCTGACCCACCAGGCAGCACCCACCAGGGAGAAAAGAGCACTCACAGGGACAAGTCAGGAGCAGGGTGGAGCGGGGAGGAGTGCAAATATGTGAAAACATTTGCTGATCGTTCCCTGTAATATTCAAACATTGCAATGATAAGTACTCATCACTATGGGGTTTGTAAATAATTGAGGGCATAATATTCAGATACTGTGTCCCCAATTATGAATAAACAGGAAGCGCTCAACATCACTTCCTGTTCATTAATGATTGTGGATATTGTATCTGTTTACTAACTCCTTGATTTATGAATTAACAGGAAACATCTATACCGAGTGCTTCCTGTTCATTGAGTACCTGGGCTGCAAAAAAAAGAGATTGAGGACTTGGTGTCCACAATCTCTCTTTTTTTTTATTTCAAATGAAATATCAGGGGTCTGGGTAGGTATGGTACTACAATGCCGCACTTTCCAGTGTGGTGCAATCGCAAATAAATTGTGCATGCAGTTTCATTCTGAAGTAAACTTTATGTATGCAACACTCCATTTGTGTATTTTATTTTAAATTAAGGATGGTATTTCATTTATTTTTATCTGATTAAAAAAATAATCAGCCAACTAATCGATTCTAAAGATAATCGTTAGTAGCAGTCCTAGATAACACTGTTCTTCCATAGCCTGAAAAAAAGAATGCACCTGTCTCATTGTTTTGAGTTTAAATATACTGTATGTTTTGGAATTTAAATACAATTTAGTTGCCAAGTTTGTACAGTGGAGGTGATGGGGCCTGGCTCATTACTCAACTTACAGGACAGAAGTTCCAAGTTATTCCTCTCTTCTATTTTCAGGGAAACAAGTTTATGGACTATCTTTATTACAGCAGAGTAACGACTTAGCTTGCAGTTTAATGTTAAAGATAAGGTATGATAGGACAGACCAAAACCCTTAGCCAATGTAAACGAACGGTGTGTCACAAATGGAAGATAATAATGAATAATGAGTCAACTTTATGTAATCATACAGTCAAATATACCTAAGATGTATGCTGCATTTTAAAAACGGTTTACTTCTTTTCTGTTGTTTTGAAACTTTACAGACACCTGGAGAAATGCTTTCTCAGCCCAAATGCACATTCATTCCAAGCAGGTCAGACAATCCCTTGAGTTTTTAAAAGTAGTACAATGCAAAGCTTAAATATCTATTCCACGCTGTTGTTTATGCAGATATGAAAAGAACACTGCCTACACCAGTTGGTCATCCATATGCCATATAGCATTAGACATTAGTAGCCATAGACAGAAATTGCATATGACTGTTGGAAAAGTTTCTTATAAAAATATCCTACATTTTTGGCAACTGAATTGTGCATGTTATGGGGCACGTATACCCTTGCCAAATAGATTCAGGAATTGGAGGGTCTGCACTCATTATGACCACCTGGTGCTCTCTCTTCCATTGAACAAAGCTGAATGGTCTGTATCCAATTAATAGACAATGTAGAGTAGAGAGAATCTCACCAAAATGAAATTCCTATTGGAGGGGATACCTAAAATGTTGCTTGCATCTTGGTGCAGACTTCTGATAAAATCAGTAATCCGATAACGAAAGCTGTAAATTACATTTCTAGGGACATTCTCTACACCAACTATGTACAGCATGTCTCTAGGTTGCCATTTACTTTTTTGGTTTTTTTTTAAGTTTAAAAAAAATTTAATTGGCTGCAAATTTCAAAAGGAAAAGTCATTTTTAATAACCTTAAATAACAAAATTACTTGAGTAGCAGTGGTATATGCTATATTAAGAAGAACTCTGGGCAACACTTTTATTAACCCTTGCAGTGGGGCTACCGCCGCACTGTAAGGGTTAACTACTTGTTTCCATCTAGGTGCTAAAATTAAAAAAAAGTTATACTCACCCAATCCTCTCAGCTGGCCGGCTGTCACAACACTCGCTCCTGCGAGTCTCCTCCTCCACTGCCGTAATGGAATGTCCTTCGGCGTCCTCACGTCCAATACATAGTGTATTGGACATGATGACTCGAGGGTCCTTAGAAAGCTGCAGCGGAGGGCAAACGAGGCTAGAAGGAGGGTATACAGGGGTAGATTTTTGCACGAATGTTCATACGAAAAGAACATTCGATAATACCATAAGAGTCTTGGCAATTGTCATTCAAAATTTTACTTTACAATTGCCATACACCACTATCACTTTACTGAA